GCCCGAGCCCAACGGAGACCGTGCAAAGTTCATGAAGAAGGCAGGGTGGCAAGCTGCCAGAAATGATGACACCAAGGAGCAGGAAGATGCTCAACGGCGTGACTTGGCTGATGCTCTCCAGTCGCCTAAGAATACCTACTATGAGAGCACCTTGATAAAGCTGTTGACGGACGTAGGACAGGACCATCTTAAAGTCCTAGCAATTGTAGGAATGGGTGGCTTAGGCAATCTCGCTCGGAGAGCTTGGCAGAGTGTGGTAAGCTCATTTGACTGCAAGGCTTGGATCTGCGTATCCAATTCAAATTCAGATTTCATGTTCTTCCGGGAGGTCCTAGAAGCACTGGCCAGTCCATCAGATCAATTCGATTTGGATAGCAAGAAGGAGGAAGAGCTTATGGCACAGCTTCAGTTGCACCTGAAAGGTAAAAGATTCTTGCTTGTGTTTGATGATGTCTGGGGTATATCTTGGGGAAGATCTCTATGGAATCGTATCAAATCTGCTTTCCCCCATGAGAATTGCTCTGCTGGTAGTGCCATACTGATTACCACACGTTCGATTGATGTGGCCCACTCATTTTCTCCCAATGAATACTTAGATTTGGACACTGATAGTTATTTCTATGTGTGCAACGCAATGGACCTAATGAACAGCAACAACCAAAGCACTTATCTGCGGCCTCTTTCACGGGAAATTGTCTCAAAACCCTTGCCAGTCAGGTTGTTTCTACGTGCTCTCTATGTCAATCCTAACAGGACCAAAGCTGATTTGCAGAGTCTGTGTGACAGCCTGGACAGCTCCAAACCATCAATGACGAACAATGTAAGGCAACTACTCACGTTCTGTAATCTGAGTAGCAACTGCAAGAATTGTTTGCTATATATGTCTATTTTCCCCCGAAGATACAATCTTTGAACGGACAAGATTGGTAAGAAGATGGGCCGTTGAAGGCATGACTGCCAAAAGAGGCAGACTAAGTGCGCTGCATGAAGCTGACCACTGTTTTGAATTGCTTGTCGCCCACCGGCTTCTTATACCGATGGGCGATGGACATGGCTGTTACAGGAAAGGTGAAGAGCTGTAAAATGCATGAGAGCATCCATTACATTGTTACAGAGATTGCAACAGAAGATAATTTTGTAAAGAACAGCCATCAGCCAGACTTGGCTTATCGCCTTTCGGTTCACTATGAAGTCTAACCACAGCAAGCTGAGAAGGAACAATATGCAACTTGTTCCCAAGCCTGTTGGGATATTTGTCGCCCTTCCCGTCCAAGTGAACAAACAACAGTTGAACAGTCCAATGCCACAGCCACTCAAGAATTTTTGGAGTCGCTTCCTTCGTCGACTCACTTGGGGATTCTGAAGGTGCTTGATCTAGAAAACTGCAATGAATTGAAGAACCACCATCTGAAAAACATTTGCAGCCATGTGTTACACCTGAAGTACTTGAGCCTTCGGAAAACTGGCATTACTCAACTACCCAAGCAGCTTGACAAGCTTCAGTCCCTAGAGACCTTGGACATTCGTCAAACAGAAGTAAAAGCATTCGCCAAAAATTCAGTTTTTCTACCAAAGCTAAAGCACCTACAAGCTGGACACTGGACTGATGACACAACCCAAGGTAGCGACCAATCTGAAGAGACATTTCTCACCGTGTCGCTGCCCAAACGTATCGGGGACATGACAGAACTGCAGGTGCTATCTCATATTGCAGTTTCTGGCAAAGGCGATGAACTAATTGATGTTCGCAACCTACTCCAGTTGGTTAAGTTGGGTGTGGTTCTCTCTGGGAGCAAGAGATCAGTCTTCTGGCATTTGTACCATGCAATTGGAAAGCTTAGGAAATGTCTTCGCTCACTGTCAATCCGTGTCACAGAACTGACAAGCAACGAAGAGGATGACAACATGAACATTGAAGAAGCACCCCTCATACATCCCAAGTATCTTCAGAAGCTAAAAATCAGTGGCCTGAAATATGGATTGCCCTCATGGATTAAAAAGCTCGACGTACTTACCAAAATAACCCTCCATATGACTTTCATAACGGATGATGACTTCAAATTCCTCGGAGAGCTTAAAAGCTTGTCCTGCCTTAGGCTCCAACGAGAGTCATGCAATGAAAACACACTCACCTTCAAAAAAGATGCATTTCAAAGTCTCAAGTTCCTGGATATTGAGTGCTCAGCCATTACCAGTATCAAATTTGTCAAAGAGGCATCTCCTATGCTGAAGAAGTTAGTTTGGTCTTCTACTCGTGAACAGTCTCTTTCTGGGATTGAGGACCTTCCAAGTTTCCGAGAGCTCAAGTTGACAGGCATCTTTGACTTGCAAAGTGTGGAACAAGCAATGGCAGCAAACAAGAACAAGCCTATCTTGGTAGCAAACCCAATAAATGCTTAGGTTCAGGAGATGATGCGCATTTGCTCCTTGACCGACCTCACCGGATGCCTCGATGCTGCTCTTATTATCAAGGAAAAGCTTTTCACTCTTCGTGGATTATTGCTATCCACTTCCACCCCTATATATTTGGTTTACTTTGTTGTGTGAGTTATTCGTGCACTGCGGTGATTGAACTGGAATGTGTTTGCTCAGGCCGCTCTCAGATTCCAGTTAAGTGTTGTTGTGTTGTGTGGTGTTGTATCGTGTGCTATTGTTAGCATTTGTCCACCCAAAAAATGTATTTCCTTCAATAAAAATCAAGCGCTGTTGCTCTTGTGCGTACAAGGACAAGTATTAGCATTGTGGTATCAGGGTGAGTATTATTATCTGCCTTATGCATTTTAAAATGCCTGCGGCGTTTATTTTATTACATACCCGAGAGCAAAACTATGCTTCTATAGTCTTCTATATACCTGCTTCACCCAACCAATGTTCCTCAATTCGAATTAAATCTCTGAAACCCTGAACAAACTGTGGTTATTTTAGATGCTCCAAAGGTTCGCAGTGTTTATTGTTTATAAAAGAAAGCAATTTCAAGAAAATACATGTAATAGCTGAAGAAAAATCTGTCACCTGGGGAACGGCCGATTCCTTCATTTCTCCGAACAATGCCACTGGTCTTTTGCTTCCAGTAGTGGTCGCGGTCTTCTCTAGAGGCCACGAAGAAGGTCGAAGCAGGGCTGTCCTGCGTATGCATCACACTCCTAGGTATGCGGCCGGCCGCCCGTCCTCCCCTCGCCCTGAGCGCCGGCGCCGGGGAACCCGTGGTGGACGCACATGGCGGCGCCGCCAGGGCAAGGAGCACTGAAGGAGACCGAAACAGAGCTTAGGGTTAAAATGGGCCGACCCAGCTCCGGTGTTAATGTTTACCAACAGCTATCTATTTTTGCCGCCTCTAGAAAAACAGCTATCTTTTTTTTTGAACGCAAAAAAAAACAGCTATCTATTTTTCCTAAAAAACAAAAAAAATCAGGTCAATCTCACCTGCTCAGGTTGTGATAACTCATAAGTGACACACTGCCTGTGTATCACCTTCATAACTCGGGAGTTTTTCTTTTTCTTAAATTTATTTATTCAAAAAAATTTATTTCTTAAACCATTCATCTAAATTGTGAAACGTTTTTAGCATTGAATTTCTTGCGTCGAGAAATTCAAAACTAGATTCCATGTTAAAAGATTTTGATATATATTTTTTTGTACAAAAAAAACCATAAAAAAGGCAGAAGAAAAACCCAAGCAGAAAGGATTGTTTATTTATCCTTTCCAAGAAGCACAATTGCACCTCTCATGGAAGCACATATGTGTCTCCACGACAAGCAAATCTGTGCCTCTTGTGAAAGCAAAAAAAAAAGTTTTTTTCTCCCTATCTGAGGCACAGCTCACTGAAGCAAATGTGTGCCTCTACGAGAAGCTAATATATGCCTCTCATGGAGAAAAAAGAACCCCTTTCTGAGAGGCACGGTTGTGCCTGTCGCTGAAGCAAATATGTGCCTCCATAAGAGGCAAGTATGTGCCTCTCAAAGAAAAAGAAAAAAAGTTGTATTTTTAAAAGTTTCAAAAAATTCTCTAAAAACCAAGGAAAGACTGGGCACCAATCGAAAAGCCAAAATCCAAAAAAAACACAAAAATCCAGAAAATGTACATAAAGGTAAAACAAAAAACAAAATCCCAAGGAAGTGCCCAACACGCGATACGTGGCGGCGATTGAGGAAGCGCCCAGAAATGACCCTTGTGGAGCTCCCGCAAGGGGTACCACTTGGTTACTTGTTCCCAAAAAGACGTGGGAGCTATATGTTGCCCTGGCTTGAAAACTTTTCCCACCCGTAGCCATTGGGAAGGGCCGTTTTGTATGTCTTCTTTCATTCGATAGGGTTTCGATCGAGACCCTCGATCAATGTTGGTTACCTTCGCTCTGTTTTCTTTTTTTCCCTTTTTTCATTCTTTTACTCCATGGATTTTTTTAAAAATCTTCTATTTTTGTTTTCCTAGGGTTTGTAATCGGTTTCTTTGTTTCTTTCTCCGTTTTCACGGTTTTTCTTTTATTTCTTCAGATTTTAGTTTCTTATCTGTGTTTTCTCTGAATCTTTTGTTTACCTTGTTTCATTTTTCCACTAGATTTTTGTTTTCTTTTTCTTCGGTTGTCTTTATTTTCTCCGTGTTTTTCTTTTTCCATCGTCATACTTCATTTTTTTCCTTTTTCTTTTTATTTTATTTTTTGTTAGGTTTTCTTATTTTTCTATAAGTTTTATGGTGTATTTCCTTTCATTCTCCTTTTGTTTCTTTGATGCTTTACATCCGGGTTTTTTATCTCAATTTCTTTTTTCTATTTGATTTTTTGTTTCTTTTTCAGTTTTCAATGTTTTCTTTTTTTCCTTTATTTTAATCGGGTTTCAGTCCTTTTCATCCTTTTCGGACTTGTTTTTTTGGGTATACTTTTTCTGTTTATTTTTTGGTTTCGCTTCTTTCGTCTTTCTTTGTTTCTTTTTGTTTTTATTCTCTATTGTTTGTGATGCGACAAAACAATTTTTAAGACGCGCTTAACATTTTTCAAATATAAGTTTATTATTATATTAAATAAATTCTTTTTGTTTATTTAAAGTACTTTTGTAGTGTAATTATTTTGAATATTTGGAAATATAAAGGAAAGTAAAAACATGAAAAGACAAAAAAAGGGCAATGGCCTCCTGTGTGTCTGGGCCGGCCCTTTAGGGAGGCACGTGGCGCGAGAGCACACTAGGTCTCGCTATAAGCGAGACATAGCGCTGCCTAAAAAACCAACAGTTATCTATTGCTCGCAACCGTGCAGCTCTCAGTTCGACCAAAAGCTAGTTAGTGGGTAGTTCCATTATGCTCTCTCCGCACATGAGCTAGCTTAAAAGCTCTCGCTTCCCTCAAGAGACTACTAGTTTGATCAACCAACATGGAGTAGCAAGACCAATCCCTGTCCGGAGCTTTGATCATACTGAGAGCAATGAGGCAGTCCGTTTCGACCTCGATGGGCAGTTGCGTCCACTATAGTGTGAGACTGATGCCCTCCATGCACGCTAAGAGCTCAACCTCCGGTGGTTC